TAACAGCTAATAATATACTTCTGTATTAAAATAATGCATTCCAGTAGCTGATAGTATTTTCAATATTAAAATCTAGTTATAGATTATTCTGGAATTATTCTAGAATATTAAAAATTATTTATTACAACAGCTATTACTGTTCTCAATATTAAAATAATTAATATTAGTAACTGATAGTATGCTTGAGTATTACAATAATTCAATTTAGCAACTAACAGTATACTTGATTCTTAAAATAATTCATTCGAACAATTTAAAGTATCTTGAATATTAAAATTATTTATTGCAGCAGTAAATATCGTCTTCAATATGAAAACAATTCATACATTTTATCAGCTAGTTGCACACTCGGATATTAAACATATTCATTGCATCAGCTGATAATATACTGAAGTATTAAAATAACTCATCCCATTACGCCGATAGCGTCTCAAACAATAGAGCGACCAATTCCAGCAGCTAACATTACCCCGAACCATTAAACCAATTCGTTGTAGTAACTAAATAGTACGCTTGAGCGTAAAAATGACCAACTCTCGCGAAAATGGCGATTCAATCGCACCAAACTCTGCCGAAATTAGCAAAATAAACGAGACGTTCGCGGAACATTCACAAAGCCTCGTCTCCGGTCGAATAATTTAAAGAATCGCCCGGCTCCACAAAATCGGGCAGAGAATTCGAGGAACAGCGACCGGCAGCGGCAGAGCGCAAAAATTAGGCCACTCCGGCCATTTCCATGACAGACAAAGCCAATCATTTCGAAAAGTTCGACAAACAGGACCGATCGACAGCCGTGGGTGCCGGCCACTGAAATATGTAAACACCCCGGCAATTGACACCGGGAACGAGCGACACCGTCCCGGAATCCCGAAACTGGCCAAACACGCCGGCTGATTCGTGTAAATAGACCTCTTTATAGGTTCGGCGCGGATTGTTCCCTGGTTTCCAAGCCAGTCTGCCTCGCCGGGCAACGCGAAAAATCAACGCCCTGCAAAATCGGAGACACCGTTTTCCGGCCTGCAGGCCGCACGATGCAACGGAACCGTGCGCGCACAATGAAACGAACATCTCTCGCCCGGGATTGTTCTTACCGGTTTTCAATGCGGGCACCGTGGTTTTCTCGTCGGAATTGCCGCGGATAGTGTCGCTCTCCGATGCAGCAGTAATTCGGAAAAATTGCGGGAGCTTATTTTTCTGGCATGTCGAACAGCTTTTTCCGTTTTCGTTGACGAGTCGTTACCCTCGGTCTTCGCCGGTGGTTCTCTCTCGACGTTGCTTTGACCACAGTTGTCCAGAAATTACAATTGCATTGCACGAGCAATCGCAATTACAAAGTTATTCGATTACGTGTTAATTCGTTCAATTCAATTACAACTTAATTCGTAATCGCGATGTGAATACAATTTACGAAACACAAAGTAATCGAAATACATCGATTACGAATTATGATTTAATTGAATTACATTAATTAGGAAGTACAATGTAATTGAATTTTATTAACTACGAATTACGATGTAATTTAATTGCATTAGTTACGAATTACGGTGTAATTTCGTTGCATTAATTACGAATTACAATGTTGAACAACTGAGTTAAAATAACGAATTAAGAAGAATAAATTAGTAGTGAAGAAAATACGAAAGAGAAACATAATAGTGTATCTCACTTCTACAACATTCTTGGCTTGTGATTTGAAGAATTGTACTTCAATTACATAATACTGAAATTGCATTGTACTCGAACTACGCTCGTGATTAAAATAATCGGCAATCGAATTAACGAAAACGTTCGAATGATGTAATCGAATAACAGCGTGGTTGAATTACTTACGTAATTGAAATGCAATGTAAATGGATTGCCAAATTGAATTACAATGTAATTGAATTAGCTTGACTCTGGTTTTAATGGGTGCTTCTCGTGTCGCGCGATTTCGTGCGTTTCAGCCGGGAAAAAGTTGTGTGAACGGGCCGCGGAACGTTGTTTGTGGAATGCTGCAGCTAGCTTGGTGAATGAATTTTAATGCACGAACTTGTCTGTCTTGTTTGTCTTGCGTGTAGTTTCTCAGTTCTATTGATTTTTTAGCGGTCAGTTTAAGATGGAGAATTAGAACTGCAAATTAGATCTGGGAATTACCTCCGGGAATTAGGGACGAACTTGTGAAAATTACAGTTTTCTGGTCTCAATTTACTGTGTAGCGTTCAATTTATTTTCATTAACATACTATTTTATTTATAAACGTAGAGTTTATTTCTGAGATATATTAATTTTGTTGGCATTACATCGTTTCGACGGTAGAGAACAAAATTGATCTTGCGAAGCCGCAGAGTTGGAGATTAGGGTAGATCGTAGAGAATTCTTTATCTTCGGTACGAAAATTTGCAGATTTTATTACCGTGTAATGTTGAATTTCTTTAGGAATATATTATTTATTTATTACCGTAGTGTTTATTTCTTGGTTATATTAATTTCTCTGCTAATTACATCGCATCGACAGCGAAGAAAATTGGGATAGAATGAAGAGAAACTCCGTTTTCTGTCTTCGGTATGAAAATTTACAGATTTTACCGTGTAACATCGATTTCTTCGTTACGAATATTCTGTTCATTTCCGAATTGTATTAATTATTGACCGGCACCGCCATCGTTTCGGCGACGAAGAGAAAACGGATTTGGAAGAAACTAGGTAGGAGAATTAGGGTGGTACGCGTAGAAATTGCGGAATGCCGCCTGCGTTTGCATGGAAACGTTTCAGAGAACTTACAAACCGAACGAACGCATGCGACTAAACTCAACAGCTGTGTGTCACAAATAAAAGGTGTCCGTTCTCACGATTTCTGTTTAAGATTAACTAGTCGTAATTAATCGCGGAATTATAAAACGTGCAGGACGACGCCATGATCATACCGCCGGATCCATGGACGCTGGTCACAAGGTCGAAAGGTACATCGACCGCTTACGAGTCGGACAGTAGTAGAAGATCGAGCATTTTGTTACCACCGTTGTTAAATCACTCGAAAGTAAATGTCAGTCCAACTAGCAGCGATTCTCCTAGCGAATAAACACTCCGTTTAGAGATCGTGTTACCATCCCCCCATAACCAGGTTTTCCTTTTTCTGATCGAACAACGGACGAAATTCTGAAGAATTTTATTAACCAAGAACCGATTTTTGTTTCAATAGTTTTCTGTGCTTACATGAAGAAATTTTTGTTAGGACAATGTTGTAGTCAGATTTTGAATTTGAGGGTTGAATTTTAAATTTGAAACTTGAATCCCGAATTTAGAAGTTGAATTCTGAATGCAGAAGGCGAATCTTGAATTTAACAGTAGAATTTTTAATTGAGAAGTTGAATTTTGAATTTCAAAAGTTGAGCTTTGAATTCGGAAGCTAAATCTTCAATTTGTCTGAGTTTGAAATATAAATTTTGAATTTAGACGCTAAATTTTCAATTTGAAGTATAAACATTGAATTTAGAAGCTAAATTTTCAATTTGAAGTATAAACATTGAATTTAGAAGCTAAATTTTCAATTTGAAGTATAAACTTTGAATTTAGAAGTAAAAATTTTCAATTTGAAGTATAAACATTGAATTTAGAAGCTAGAAATTTGACAAAATTTAGTATAAAAAATAAAATTTCAGTTTAAAATTTCAGTCCATTACTGTCTCTACATTAACGATAGAACAATAATAAATGTTTAAGAGAAGCACCTCTGACAAACTATAATTATTTCAAAATATCAAAAAATCGATTAACTATGGTTTCGAACTAAAATCAAATTTACTTTGAAAATTAAATTCTCATTTTACAAAATCAGATAAAATGATGAAACAATTGATGAAAAAGATTCAGAATTTCCTCCTTTGAGTGAACGATGTCGAAGATCATAGAGATCCGAAAATTCTAAAAATCGTGACGGGAACGGAATGGCAGACAACTTTCTCAGAGTACCATTACCAAAAACTGGTTCTTCGCATGAGGCATTGGAAGAATTTCGAGAAGTTGCCAAAGTACTTTATACAGCGAGAGAAAAGAGATTCTTTCATCGTTCCATATCGACAACGTGCCAAAAATGTTGCAAAACTGTCGGGTCAAAATATACTTAGTCGACTAAATAGTTATTCTTATCTGTAATTGGAATCATTTTTAGATTCATTAGCTCTAGAACGTATTGGACAAAATTTGTGTGGGGTCAAATAACTTTGGAAAAGTGCCAAAAATGTAGCAGATCTTTTGCAGCGGACTGTAACAAATCAACTGAGTATGTAGCTATGAACAATTGGAATAACTCTTAAAAACATTTTTATTGGGATATAAAAATTGTTGAAAAGTGCCAAATCATTTTTTCCTGAACTTCTGATCATTCAGAGTGAAACCGTCCTCTAAAGATTTAAATTACTATTATTAAAAAGAAATAATTATAAAAATAAAATTAGCTCCTTATTTTGATAATATTAAAATTAAATTGTGTTTGAATATATTGAAAAATTGTTCTTTTTTGTTGAAAAGTTTGTTACGCATTCATCGTTCGATTTAGAAGAGATTTATATGTAAAAATGTTTACAATATCCTAAAAATTCTACTAAATAAAAATAATTACGATGACAAAAATGAACGTTCATACCATAAACGAAAAATCTCTTAGTTTGCCCATAAAAAATTTATTAAAAATTTCGAAATGATTTATGCTCTCCCATTTTTTTATATTTCCAAAGTTATATTAAACAAAAATAATCGTATAAATCAAAATGGCCTGCTATTTTGCAAATAAATGGTCGAATGAAGTGTCTAGTTTTATTTGAATTCAAATAAAAGTAATTGTGTCTCGCAACACACTGCTCTCTAGTTGCAAAATATCTCGCACAAAAATCCCAAAACAATGAGAAATCAATGATTTTCAACCCCGTCAAATTTTTCCGAAGTTCGATAATCGAATATATGAAAACGACGATCGCGATAATACTTTTTTCTCTCGCGGTATCGCTGAAATAACAGAAAAACAAGGTTACGTAGGTCCATCGATCGAAAAATTCACGCAAGTTTCCACGTGAAAAAAGAGAAAAAAACGTAAAAATAGAAAAATGGAAACCAAAATCTTCGCTTTTTAGATAACTATATTTAGGTACGAGCAATAAACGCTGCGGGCGCAGACGAGAGAGCGAGACACTATGCATAGAGAGAACAGGCGCATAAAAAATATAAAAACAATGAAATCACCGAAAAATAATCGTAGAGATAATCGACACTGTCACCGATGAAGATAGTTCCTTCAATGTGAATCGAAACAATATTAGGCGCACCAATTAGGGATTTAAAATCTTTAATGATCGTTTTAGGGAGTACGTTTAGCCTATAGTTTGCACCATTTAATGAGCTTTCCACTCAACTGGGGGACTCAAGTGGCCGAGAGGTTTTCTCCCGGCCGTCAGTATTGTATTATTTACTATTGCCGTTATTATACACTTATTATACAAATATATTATACATGGTTATGGCCGCGAAGTGCACATATACAGGGGCCGCTCGATACGAACGCGATCGAATGACAAAAGTTGCCAAAGAAATCGTGAATTATTGTTATTATTGCTATTAGACCGTCGATCTTTATGCAAATTGTCATGTTTCAATGATTGTTATTTATCGACTCTTTTGAAACAACGTTTCTCCATTAAATGAAGCTCCATACAATTATCGTTTATTTATTCCTATCATTTTTGAATTTTTCAAATAAAATACGCGGTCTAATATTCATTACTATTATTATGATGAACTGTCGTTATAATATAATTTGTATAGAAATTTCAATACTAATTCAATTTTAGATAAAATACACATTTAGTCGGATTGTTTAACATCTGATAAAGTTACTTCTAAATAAAACATCCATTAAAGTCGAAGTATTATAAAGATTTCAATATGAATAATATTTTTCAGTTTTTCAGTAGACTATGTGATGTGATGTTTACTGTTGTTATTATTTTAAATTGTCATTGTAATATAATTTTTACAGAAATTTTGATAGTGACTCAATTTTAGATAAGATATACATTTGTTCGATTTTACATAGTATTGTTATTTATTAAAATTATTTCAAC